AGCGTCTCAGATCTCAACAGTACTCAGATCACTGCACAACAATATGGGACACCAGGGAAGAGACAGGACAACATCATTAGTCAAAGAGCGCTTCTTCTGGTTTGGCATGACTAGAGATATTGAGCAGTGGATCCAGAGATGTCCAAGATGTATATGGCGTAAGACTCCAACCAACGACAGAGCTCCATTGACCAGTATCAGAACTACTCAACCCATGGAGATAGTCTGTATGGACTTTCTGAAGTTAGAAGTTTCTAAGGGCGGATACCAGTACGTATTGGTGATTACAGATCATTTTACCCGATACGCACAGGCCATTCCAACGAAAAACATGACAGCCCGAACCACTGCTGAAGCTTTCTTCAAGAACTACGTGGTACATTATGGACTTCCAGAAAGAATACACAGCAACCAAGGTGCTAACTTTGAGAGCCGTCTAGTCAAAGAGTTATGTGATATTACCGGCATCAAGAAGTCACGGACAACGCCATATCACCCACAAGGCAACGGACAATGCGAAAGATTCAACAGGACACTCATCAACATGCTTGGAACTCTCGAGAAAGATAAGAAAGCAGACTGGAAGTCTTACATTGGTCCCATTGTCCATGCCTACAACTCGACCAAGCATGACACTACAGGCTTCACACCGTTCCAGCTGATGTTTGGTCGACAGCCGAAGCTACCAGTAGATTTAGCTTTCGGGATTGACAGTGATAGAGAACCGAAAAGTATGACGAAGTATGTTGAAGATCTGAGACAGAAATTAAAGAAATCTTACCAACTTGCATCATCAGCTGCAGAAAAATCACAGGTTAGACAGAAGCAAGCTTATGACATCAGAGTTAAAGGAGCCATTTTACATAAAGATGATCGAGTACTTGTGAAGATTCTTGCCTTCGATGGAACCCACAAGTTACAGGATAAATGGGAAGAAGATCCATATGTAATCCTCGATCAGCCCAATACAGAACTACCTGTCTATGTAGTTAGGAAAGAGAATGGTCATGGAAGAAAACGAACGCTTCATAGGAACCATCTACTACCCATTGGAAGCATCAACGAGGAACTTGTGGAAGAGAACACAACTCACCAAATGCCAGTTCCTTTGCCAAGAAGAAGTAAAAGAAAACCAGCATCACCAAAGAAGAAAACTGCTCCAGTAGAAGTTTCAACAGACTCCAACACAGAGAGTGAGGATGAATCAATGGTGTATGTCGTGGTTGAAGAGCCTCCGCAAGATGTTCAACAAGATATTCAGCCGGATGACGTTATCCAAGCAGATGATGAAACAGCATCGGTTGAGGAGGAGGCTACTGTTCCTGGTAACGCTGATGACGATCAGGACCGCACCGAGGAGCAATCTGAATTAGAGGAGGACGCTTCTTTGCCTGAGGAATCAGGAGGTTCAGAGCACGAAACATCACTAGAAGATCAAGTACATGATTTGGCAACAGATGCTTTACATGATGTAACAGATGATGATAGCACGGAATATGAGAACATTGATGATGAAGAAGAAAAAGATGATGACACAACAGAACCACAACAAAGACGATCTACCAGAACCAAAACATCAACAGCTACAACCAAGTACAAGGATTTTGTTGTACCACCAGTCTCCAAGAGTGCACAACCGGAATGGATGGTTCGTGCTGACTACCTTAGGACTGCAGCATCCTCTGGAATGTTTATCAACATGGCTGATGAAGTTTCCAGAGCGATGTTGAAGCTGATCACCAAGACAGACGATTAGATGATATATTGTATTTCAGTTTTGTCCAGTATTAGACGAGGACGTCTTTTCCTCACACAGGAGGAAGATCATTGTTGTATATTTTTGTTTATTGTCACCATGATTTCAGTTATGTCTTGGAAGACATTCTCGCAGCAGGGGGAGAATGTGACAGAGTATATTTTTACATATTTCATTTATTAGTATTTTACATTTTATTACATACCAGATATTATACTTTATTCATTCACTCTGATCATTTGATCTTTTGATTTATAGTTTATTATCTCTTTATACTATAAATTGTATGAAAGTTCTAGTCAGTCATACTTCATTGAGCAAAGTTGTAATTGTATCTACCCGTCCAACTCATTAGTAAATTAATTGTCACACCTTGTTTATCTTTATGGTCAGTTCTTATTGGTCATTCTGGACACACCTCAGATTTTGGAAAAGAAGTAATGGTGGTTAATTCTTGAAAATTGGAGACATACATATTTAATATTTACTTCTTATTTAAACCATATATAGTGATGAAACTTATATAGAGACATTCTATTTAGTGCTCGTTAGTACTCACTGAAGTTTCCATACTTTGGAATCACTGTAGTTATTGGAAATTACATTCTTTATATCTGGTAAGTAGATTTTATGTTCTTTGTGGTGTATGAAAGGCGTATGCAATGCATGCTATACAATTCTGCCCGTTTATAGGTAAGTATGCCCATAGACCTTAGATATGATAGGAGTAAGATAGTTTATGTATTAATCTGAGAATATATGATTTGAATCTGTAGTTTGGATGTAGAAAGGGAGATTTACGAATGATTTTGAAAGTGACCTTGACCTTTCAGTTATGGATCTATGATGTCACATTGACAATTGCGTTAATATTGCCATATATGGTAATTTTGTGTAATAGCTTGATTTTATTATATCAGTCTTTAATATGTTGTATTTTGTATAAGGGATCATTATTTTCCTGGATCCTAGTATTTACTATTGTGTATTATTTTCAGGACACATAGATTATGATGTTCCTGTAACATACTGGTTGTACTGTAGATGTTAGATATATAACCTGGTTCCACAGATTGGTAAGGGTCATATTATATTGTACCTATATGTCAGTTAACTTGAGTTCAATAATAGATATTAAACATTACAGTAGTGCATACGAACTTAATAGCTAGAATACTATAGTGAACAGTTAATAACCTTCGTATGGTAAAGGTTTTATGAATGACACTCGTTTATGAAGTACGATACATTCGACTTGTTTATAATACGCTTGGTTGATTATAATGATATGCTATTTGATACGACTTATCAGATACATGTATTTGTATTTAGAAATATAATTGCAAGTTTGTTGCATATTATGAATGTCACTGCATTCTTGATACTCAGTATAGTTTATTGTATATGGAATAGAATATTTCATACGATCTTGTAACATTGTTAATTACACCACTATACTATTTGTATGATTCTAGTATAAGACTTTAATAAGACTGTGATATTGATAAATGTGATAATTATATGCTATTGTTATTGCAGGGTTATTTTCCCTATGTTTACTTGTATAATAAAGTGATGTCAAAGAACCCTAGACTTGTCGTTTATGGAACCCCCGTAAAACAAGACTATTATATTATTCACATTAATAAAAACCTCACAATAATTTCTGAATTTACAGTAGGTCATAATATGATCGAAATTGGTACAAAAATTTAAATTCAAGGATATAACCCCTTAACAGTTCAGTTGAAATATATAAAAATGATCTAATCATTTAAATTCAAAACCCAATATTCTCTGATTTTCTTTTCCAGATAGAGGAGATCCTGAGGTATTAAAAGTGCAAGGTGAAAATCATCTTTGATTTGTGGTTCATGGTGTTAAATTACTTCTTAAACCATCACAGTTTTTACTCAATCTAAACTAAGGTTATTTATCATCTTGAAGATATTCATTTTAAAAATTTTATCATTTTCAAGAACATTACTCCTCATGGTAATAGATTATCAATGTGAAAATGAGGCATGACTTGTATTTTATATTAAGTACACCACTGTTGTAATTATGCCACAGTAGAATGATATTGGTTAAAAACAAGAATGCACATGCTGAATATCTCGCCTGTTTTACTTATCATTGAATTTATGTTGAAAGTCTGTAATATGAAGGTTTTACTACAAGTATCACATAAAATTAATATTGACCAATGAGGTCAAGGTCATATAAACCCTGCCAGACAGACATTTTCACCTTACAATCATTCCATACACCAAATATAGTTGACTTATTGCTTATAGTATCTGACAAACTGACAAAATTACGAAAATTTAACATTGACCAAAGAACCCTGAAAATGAGGTCAAGGTCATATGAACCCTGCCAGACAGACATGTTCACCTCATAATTGTTCCATACACTAAATATAATTGACCTATTGCTTATAATATCTACAAAATAAACCAAACCACAAAAACTTAACATTGTCCAATGAACCATGAAAATGAGGTAGAGGTTAGATAAAACCTGCCAGACAGTCTTGTACACCTGGCAATCATTCCATACACCAAATATAGTGGCCCTATTGCTTATAGTACCTCAGAAATAGACCAAACCACAATAACTTTACATTGTCCAATGAAGCATGGAATTGAGGTCAAGGTCAGATGAAACCAGTCAGCCTTACAATCATTCCATGCATGTTTGTACACCAAATATAGTTGACCTATTGCTTACAATATCTGAGATACAGACTTGACCACACAACTTTAACCTTGATCACTGATCCATGGAATAAGGTCCAGGTCAAGTGAACCCTACCTGATGGGCATGTAGACATTGCAAGGAACCCATATACCAAATATAGTTATCCTATTACTCATAATAAGCGAGTATTTCACTTAACAAAAAAACTGTAGTTATTTTTCAAGCTCACTGAACCATGAAAATGAAGTCAAGGACAATGGACATTATGACAGACAGAAACTTCATAACATAAGGTATCTGCATGTAAGGTATGAAGCATCCAGGTCTTCTACCTTCTGAAATATAAAGCTTAAAACAAATAGTTCACGCCGCTGCCGCCCCCTGATTGTAATACCTAAGTCTAGCATTCTGAGACTTTGGGCGCAGGCGAGACAAAAATCAGGTAAACAATTTGTTAAGATGACAGAACTGACAAAGCAATTTCCAGGTTTATGAAAGACCAGATTCACTGTTTATTCCAGAATGAAATCATTTAAATCACCTATCTAACATGTCTGGCTCTGCCTTCTCAACTTGATGCAGAACTGTGGTTATCGCCATATCATGCATTGTGTGACCTTCACCCCAGCCTAGTACTCTGGACAAATCATTTCCGGTTCCTAGTGGTAATATTGCAACTAATGGAGGATTCTGTAAACGAAAGATGAATGCATAATTTTTTTAAGAAGTTTGGATTAACATAAGTCAAAACAGAACATGTAGCAGACAACAGTTTAAACTTAATAACTGCCCCAGGGTGCAAACTGCATAATCTTTTGTCACCATTCTAATCATCTAACTACCCGTATTTACTGTAACCAAAATCATCAGTCCCAAAAGTATATCTGCTTTAGACATATTCAATTTAGCTAATTAATAAGGCAACAATAAACAAAACATCCTAGATTTCCCTATATCTTAAAAAGTAACTTTAGGCCTGCGTAATTCTCTAGCGTTTTTTATACCTTAACCAGAACACAGTTGTCAATTTTGTTAATTTCTATAAACAAATATTGGTCTTCTTATTCTCCATTTCATCTTGGCCGAATTTCCTGATAGCACCATGTTTTTGGATAATCTCTTATATGCTTTAATTTGAAATGTGAAAAAATGATAAAAAATGTCAATGTCTGATTATGTCTCATGAAAAAAGAACACAATTTTGTGAATTTCAATAGAATAGCTACAAACACTGACAAATTCTATAACAACCACTGCATAACTATCAATAAAAGGAAAAGTTCAGTTGACCTTCAACATGTACAACTGATATTTTTAAATATGACAAACGATGATATGATTACTAAGAGATGTGATACAATTTTTCAGCCATGATACATGTACATGTAGGTATTAACATTACTATAGTATGTATAGTGATCATGTAAACCAAATCTATTTATCTGCAAATACTGTAGATTCATTATTTTCGTGGGATACTAATTTTTGTGGATTTCGTGGATAGGTAAACCATGAATTTAAATGGGCAACGAAGTATAAATTAAAATTATTTTCTATAGGCTTGGTTGATAAACTTTGAAAAAACCACAAAATCAAATATCCACGAAAATATAAGTTTTCTTCAATCTACAAAATTGGTATCTACCAAGATAAAGGAATTCACATATGCAGAATGCAGAATAAACTGTTGTCACAGAGACATGTCTTGCTTGTTGTGTAATTGTGATAGAATAGTGCAAATGTTGAAATTTAAATGGTAACACTATATGAATATATATCTCTGTACACTTGGGACAATAAAAGAATGGATTGACCTACAACCTGTATTCACAAACTTTAACATGTAAACTATACATAAGTTAAGTTTGTGGACAGAAAAGAGGATTCAATGGGATTACCTTGAGTTGTAAATGGTTTATTGCATTCAGCACCCATCCTACAGATCCATCCCCACCACATACAAGAACTCTAAATGTAATATCTGGTAGCAAATGGCACCACTCAAGACCATTCTCTGGTGGGACATCATTCAAATCAATTACCTGTAAAGTAAGAAACCAGGGTAATATCTTGCAGCTAATGTACATGTAACCATTTAGATCCTCTGGTCATGCTGGTTAAACATCATTCACATTAATGAATTGGGTGAGTAAACAAAAATATACTTAAAATGTGAAATTATAAATAAAAAAATGTTTAACATATCATTCTCTGGCATAAAATGACTCTGTCGAGGATTATAAAAAGCATGTACACATGTGTTGTCACCTATAATTTTTCCTACATAAATGTATTTCATTTAATTACAGATCTTTTCCAAAAACTATCTTGAAGGCTTTTACAGTTTGATTCTTAATAACAAGGTTATAAAGATGCAGAATTGTCTGAAGTTTATTTACTTATATAGTCATATTTGTAGTTTTGTCCTGAGTTGTTTTTGTTTTCTTCTGATGTTAACATACAGGGTAATTATTTTCATTTTATTATTAATAAAATGCATACATGTACATGATGTTACAAATTTCCAGCCGAGTAATGATTTTTTTCTTTACATCATCAAAAAAATAAAAGATCTTCAGAACAAGTTATAACCAAATGCAACATGTAAATATATAAAACTGTAACAATTCTGTTTCTAGGGGTACAAATAAAAAATGTATCAAGCTGACTTCAAATTTGCAATTGAAGAATACTTATATATTGTAGATAGATCTATGACCTGTACATGTAAATCACTAGCTTTATTTGCAGTGTCATAAAATTACCAAAAAATCCAGCAGGTCAAAAAAGTTATTTTACAGAAAATTGGGATTATTGAAAATAATTTTCAAAATTTCAATAGTTCAACACTTACAAAATGTACAGGTTCCTAGAGAAATTTGAATAGCCTTGGATATAGGAACTGACATAAATTACAAGCCTTTTATCTTGTACACGATTGTTTTTTGTTTGTTTAATGGTAGACAATTTGATAGTAATTATGTACAATGTAGAAAGAGATCATCATTGTTCTTCTATATTATATAAGTGTGTTTTTCATAACCTTCTGATTATAACTGTGTTTATCTGAACCAATATTATATATTTGCCTAAGTCAAAAATAAATTTACCTGAGTAGGATTAAGAACTGATCTGAAATCTCTGAGAATCAACTCCCCTTCATTGTTACCACTCTTCCTATTGCCTACAACAATAACAGGGGACCAGTTTTTATAACCAGGATGTCTGACAGATTCAACAACTAAATGCCTACGTCCTTTGATTCCAGTCCATGTAAGTTTTATACAGTGGGGTGGCACAATTGAGGACCGAAATTCTCCCATATCACATTCTTCTTTCATGTAAATACAATTTTCATGTGCAGATCTTCCACACCATGCACATCTCACATCAGAAATATGTGGCAAGATGCCACAATCATCACCACATACAAAGCATTTACTATATAAAGGTAAGTTTCCTTGTATCCAATGGTGATGGGTCACAGGTCCTGATTCTGTCAATGGCTTACACGGAAATTTCTTATTAGCTGCTTTCATGTAACTTTCATCCACACATAAACCACAAGAATCACAACGAGCACCATGTTTTATACGATCATGACTAAAGCTGCAATAAATCAGTTCAGGGAATATATCTACCATATACCAACGATGACCTTTTCGTACATCTCTAGCAGGTACTTCATAATGTTGTAATCTGTATCTTCTATAAATCTTCATCAGTATAAATGCAAAAACCATAAACGATATCATGATCAGCATCGAAAAATAAGGATCCATCTACAAATATAAAAATAGGCATCCACAATCATAATATCAGTAATGTAAAACTATTTCTGCAGTCTTCATCATTCAATATACCAATAAACTATAAGCAGACATATATATTTGTGATGATTCTAGTTTCTTTGAGCTTTACCTAGTTTTTTTCATACGAGAAAAAAATTTATACTATGAAGTGTACTATCCCAAAGGATCCTTATTATATATGCTGTACAGTGATGGTAAGCAAAGACATGTCAAGTTTGGCTTACAGACAAATTTAGCATTATTGTTTATGAGAAAAATAGTACTTTAGGAAGATTTCAGATTGACCCAGTATTAAACATCAACCATATTTAACACTGCCTATTTTTTTTCTTTCATGAATATAAATTGTTCTGAATTATATAAAAAGAATTTTGATTATCAGAATCAGATAAAATCATTGTGAAGGACTTAGAATTTGCACCATCATGTCAAAAATAGTTAGTATGCCATAGTTCAGGATTGCTCTGATGTTGATGACATATTTTGGGACTGATCAAATATTGTGCCTTCCAAAGCAAGTTGTTAGACATCAGAGCAATATCAGAATAGTATGTGATAGCTTCAGTCAAAATAGTATTTATAAAACATGTGTGTATAAAACAATATAAAAGTTTAATTTTGATTTCTATAATTACTTTATTTCCAAATAGTTTTAAGATACAGGAGTAAATCTAATTGATAACAAATAAACAGCTGCGCCATGAGCGCATGATACGCCGTCGTCTTGTGTGTGAATTTTTATGCAATAAGCATAAATAGTTTCTGACAAAAGGCGTGACATGCGAAAACCCCCTCTTTTTTTTACAAAACACTCAATATCTCTAAAATAAAATTTTGAATCAAAACCAAAAAGTATACAGATCTTTAGATTAATTTACTAAGAAGTGTGTAAAATTTTAAGCAATAATCATAAATCGTTTTTGAGATACAGCGCGACATGTGAAAACCCCCCTTTAAAAAAAAAAATCAATATCTCTATCTATCATGTCTATAATAATATTAAAGATAATAACCAAAAGCTGCAAAATTTTCTTAAAATTACCAATTCAGGGGCAGCAACCCAACAACGTGTTGCCTGATTGGTCAGAAAATTTCAGGGCAGATAGATCTTGACCTAATGAACAATTTTATCTCGTCAGATTTGCTCTAAATGCTTTGGTTTCAGAGATATGAGCCAAAAACTGCATTTTACCCTATGTACTATTTTTTAGCCATGTCGGCCATCTTGGTTCGCAGCCGGGGTCATCGGACACATTTTTTAAACTAGATACCCTAATGATGATTGTGGACAAGTTTGGTTAAATTTGTCTTAGTAGTTTCAGAGAAGATTTTTGTAAAAGATTACAAAAATTTATTGATGAAAAATGGTTAAAAATTGATTATAAAGGGCAATAACTCCTTAAGGGGTCAACTGACCATTTTGGTCAAGTTGACTTATTTGTAGATCTTACTTTGCTGAACATTATTGCTGTTTACAGTTTATCTCTATCTATAATAATATTCAAGATAATAACCAAAAACGGCAAAATTTCCTTAAAATTACCAATTCAGGGGGAGCAACCCAACAAAGGGTTGTCAGATTCATCCGAAAATTTCAGGGCAGATAGAACTTGACCTGATAAACAATTTTACGTAGTCAGATTTGCTCTAAATGCATTGGTTTCAGAGATATAAGCCAAAATCTACATTTTACCCCTATGTTCTATTTTCAGCCATGGTGGCCATCTTGGTTGGTTGGCCGGGTCACCAGACACATTTTTTAAACTAGATACCCTAATGATGATTGTGGCCAAGTTTGGTTAAATTTGGCCAAGTAGTTTCAGAGGAGAAGATTTTTGTAAAAGTTAACGGACGACGGACGCCAAGTGATGAGAAAAGCTCACTTGGCCCTTTGGGCCAGGTGAGCTAAAAACACACACCTGTTTTAGTTACTAAGTCCCGTAACTCAAAAAGTTTTAATCTTATTGTCACCAAAAAGTATACAGATCGTTTGACCATCATAACAAACAACTATGTTAAGTTTCATGAATTTGGATAAGTCATTCTCAAGTTACGGTGCGACATGTTTACGCCGGACAGACAGACGGACGGACACCGGACATTTGTATACCATAATACGTCCCGTCAAAAATTGACGGGCGTATAAAAAGTGTGTATATTGTATTTCATAACATATTAAATGTGCTGAAATTTTTTACCTCAACAAAAATTTGCACTAAATTTTCAAGAAATATTTCTGCTGTATCAATGGACAGTTATATTTATTTTTGTTGTTGATACTTTCACTGTTTTTAACATCACAGGAATATACTATAAAACTTCCTAAACAATACACATGCAAGTCTTACAAATTTTAGTTTGAAGAATTATGATTGAAACCATAAAAAACATAAATAATATTTGTATTCAAATTTGGTTGGTATCAAAGACTTGATGAAATTTTCAAAGTAGAGATCACTCCAAAATGAAAGCAATAAATATGAAAGATTTATGGATTGATTAAGTCTATGGCTGTATGATACTAAATAAACAGAATGACATCTGATGTTAAAATTATCTATCATGTATTGATTGTTGTTAGATCATTACCTAGACCATATTATATATTTATGAACAGTATTTTTTCATAAACCAAAGTTCATGTATTTTTAATGTAAGACCAACTTTTTCAGTGTGTTGTGTCATCTCACACTTTTCTTTGTGTGACAAAGGATCAATATATTCTTCATGACCTGCCATGTTTAGGTATATACTTCTTTTGTCCCTCCTGAGTACCCATTATGACATTACCCATTTCTTCAATATAATGAAATAGAGACTGGTCAGACTACAACATCAACCTCTTATCTTAACAATAAGATTTTATAATACCACATACATGTAGGTATCAGACAAATGTTGTACTAATGAGGTGTTGAACTAATCACCATCAAAATATCAGGGCAACTCCCTGTCTGAATATAAGTGACTGTTTTCAGATCTTCATGCATCATGATTTTTTTGTAAAAGTGCGAGAGGCAAAAAACCTCGGATCATTTATTATGCTTCTATATTGTATTAATTTCAAATTCGAATACTGTTGTCTTTACATTGTACACATAGTATCAATCTATTTTTTTTCATTCTTGTCACAATGTTTGACACAAGTATAAAAATAACAGCTTGAAAAACTGCACCTTTCTTACAAAACAATCCAACCTCTTACACTGCAGTGAGTGTAGGAACTGTCAAAGCATTGGTGCATGTCATCATACATGTACAATGTACATACTTGTAAACTTCAGCATTTCAAACTCGAGATATATATCATATGAGTTATTTACAGTTTAAGTGTTTGAGATTTGATATCAGGCAAGCTCAGTAAATCTATAATTTCAGATTGTTTTATTCAATTTGGCTATATTAACTTAATTGAGCTATCAAAAAATAATTCCTTTTTTTATAAGAAATTTCAGTGTCTGCTTAAAATAACTGGAATTACAATCTAAAACTTTACAGACAAAGAAAGAAACTTGCTGAATGTATAGGTGTTCAAAATTACAAATTATATCATGATTTAAAGGGGGAATTTATTCACAAACATGGTATAAACATAAAAATTAATTGCAAAATTCCTTTCAGAAATACATGTACTTCGTAATTATGTATTCCAAGTTTCAGATTGTACTTCCAATTAACGAGTGATTAATTGAAATTTCCTTGAAAAAACTTGCAAATTGAGATATTTATCATAACCCGACTTGTTTTAAACAGCCAGATAAAGCGAAATACTGCCGAAACTGTAGATATACAGAACATGTCCGGTTATAGAACTGTACCGCAACTTTCTTTACAACTGGATATTTCAGGAGTAGCTCCCTATTAAGTTCGGAGATCTTCATGTTTACTCATTTTATGACGACATGTTATACATTTATAACACGTGTTAGTGGCCAAGAAATACAGGCAGGGTAAAAGTTCAGAAAAAGGCATGACAACATTTTGTTTTCACCGGAAACCTCAAAGGGAAATAATCCCGATGTTTCCCGCCATTCTGTAATATGTAATCTATAAACGATATTCTGCCAGTCAAGGCACACCTCCGATCATCAAAGAGGACAATGTTAATCCAGAGACATATATACACATATGTATATATGTCTCTGGTTAATCCGCAGTAAGTTTACATATGAAACCATCACAAATAACACACATATACAGGGATAACTCCAGCACCATTATGATGTATTCAGACATAGTTCATAAAATTTCTTTTTTTTACAGATTTCTTGCGTTTTGGCAAATTGCCGCTGCTATCTTTGAAAACTGTACTCTGGGACTATTATACTAACACAATATATTATGTCCCAGCTGTACTCAGGTACTAATATAAAGACAGACACTTTACATAGAAAAAAATATCAGAAAGACAAGATCTTCAAAGAAGTCAACATAACCCTTGGAAGATCTTGGAATCGAGTATCTAGTAGGTGATAATAATTATCAAAGTTAGAATAGAGAATGGAAACCGTAGGAATGTGTCAAAGAGACAACAACCCGACCAAAGAGCAGAAAGCAGCCCAACGCCACCAATGCCGGGTCTTCAACGCAGCGAGAAAATCCCGCATCCGGGGTCAAAAATGCGGCGGGTTAAATTAACGTGTTTTGTGAGCTCTCAACCCTCCCCTATACCTCTAACAACTGTCCCCGGGAATAAAAGGCCTATTTTTTGTCAGACGGTGACTGATTCAGGCTCTTAGAAGCCTCTAGTTGGCCAAGGTGTTTTATTGGACATATGGATATGCAGTGTCCTACATCTCCTCAGTTTTATTCTTCTTCTTGTCGTGTAGGATGTATACATACACAACCACGTCACGGCCAGTCGGAAAGGACTGTTTAATCCGATGCCTCCCTCTCTTCCCGTCATGATACTTCAAATGAGTTTTAAAAAAAGTTGAAAATGTTTTATATACTTGAATGGGTAAGTTTTATTATAAACCAAGTGTACCGTGGACTTCCTTGTAATAGAAAATCCTTTATCTTATCAAAATCTTCAGAAATTTACTGTTATTGAATTCTCTAATTCACCGCTATTTTCCCGTACGCTGTGACCTTAACTACCTCTCGTTAGAACTTCGGGTGATCACCGCACAGCGCAACTGCGAGGGAAAATCGTGATGAAAGAATGTAAAACAAATTTGCACTGGAAGGTAAATAGTTGTAGTTGGTTTTAAAGAATATGGAAAATATCATGTACAAAAAAATAACATCGCTGGATCAATTCACTTATTTAGCACGTGTTCCATGATTCTGTGTTGATTGTTCTAATGTCGCGTTCCGGTAAATTTCGGCAACAAACTCGAAAGTTGATTAGCTTGCGATCAGCAATCACTGAAGGGAAATATTAATTGTCGATAATTCGTTATATCTGGGACTATTAAACTAACATATATTATGTCCCAGGTTATATAGATTCGTTAAATGTAAAAAAAAACAACTTGCATAGATGACGTAGTGTAGTATATATGCATGCATTGGTTCAATAGTTCCCTTAACATTATACATTAAGACATTTTCGAAAAGTCGTCTTACACAGACACTTACACCGATACCTACACCGACTACAAAAATATAGGGACCGTATCAAAATGTAGAAACAAATTGAATGAATGACCTCGTAATACTTGGTTGCATATATTTAATTTTTCATTCGGAATCGGAACTAGAAACACCTAATGCTCTCATTAGCATAGGCGGATCCAGGGGGTGGGGGCTGGGTGGCCCGGGCCCCCCTTTTGTGGGAAAAATTTGGTTGATTATATAGGGAATCACTGAAGCATGACTGGAGCGCTGGAGCGCCCCCCTTAGGTCAGTCAGTGCCCCCCCCCCCCCTCCACCTTTACAAAAAGTTTTGGATCCGCCACTGATTAGTTTTTGATTATTTAAAGTAATGAACTTGTGATATTCCATCTGTTTTATTTTAATTGTCTCCGTTTGCAATTATTCAAACGGAATACAGTGTTGGGGTCGAATATAGTAAGCATTCGGAAGATAGATAAAGTATCTTATTTCGTATGAAGCAAGCGTATATTAAATCCATGTAAATCAACAGGTCTTAGGATTTGTTGGACGTCTCTGTGACTCAAGTATAAAATAAAAATGGTTGTAGTGTAAAATTCCACTAAAATTAAATGCAAAAAGTCCAAAAAACTGCAAAAAGTAAAAACGAAATGTAAAAACTAATAAAAAAATTACAAAATTACAAAAGAACTGAATTTTGCCAAAATTCCCCAAAACTAAACACAAAAATAAAATTTTGACACCCACCCCAATGCATTTTCAACACTGGTGTAAAATTCCGTACACCCCTGATTACACCAAGGTAACACATTATAAGTTATCGCACCGCGGGTAAATTATTACGTTGTGATTGGTTTAACGCCGTCACGTGGTGACCCCCTATGGATCCGTAGGGGGTTAGTAAATTTCATAGTGGGTTCATGACGTCACGGCTACTGTTAATGGTGACGTCATCTATTGATGTTTTTGTATTTCATTGTTTATTTTTCTACAAAACGCTGCAGAAAAAGTATCGCGTGCGATAAATTCGTTATACGGTTCACTACTGACCCCTACGGACCATAGAGGGTGAATAAAAAACATAGGGGATTCGGCCTTCGGCCTCACCCCCTATGGATTTTACTAACCCTCTATGGATCCGTAGGGGGTCAGTAGCGAACCATATAACTTATGTTATATGGTTCGCTACTGACCCCCTACGGATCCATAGAGGGTTAGTAAAATCCATAGGGGGTGAGGCCGAAGGCCGAATCCCCTGTGGATTTTATTCACCCTCTATGGTCCGTAGGGGTCAGTATACCGTATAACGAATTTATCGCACGCGAGACTTTTTCTGCAGCGTTTTGTAGAAAAATAAACAATGAAATACAACAACATCAATAGATGACGTCACCATTAACAGTAGACGTGACGTCATGAACCCACTATGAAATTTACTAACCCCCTACGGATCCATAGGGGTTTACCACGTGACGGCGTTAAACCAATCACAACGTAATAATTTACCCGCGATGCGATAAACTATCATATATATATTTACACGTTGTGTTTCACGCTATAAAAGACTTTATCATATACTTGTATAAATATTACTTAAATTTTACAGTTCAATAACATTTAAAAATATTAAAAGGCTATGAAAGGATTACTATGTTTATTGACCAGATTCCTAAGAATTTCCTCGGCGGGCTGATAAACGAACCTTTATTGACTGCTTCCGGAATGTTATCACATGCCTTTCCGTTAATGTCCGTGACGTTTATCACATGCAACTTCGTGCATTTTCGGAAATTTGTTAGAAAACGAAAACACAGCGCGGAAAACCGCAAGTGATTTAAGACTTTTCACAAAATGATTGAGGAGCAAAAATGAATTAAGATTAATTAGATATAGGAAGATGTGGTATGAGTGCCAATGAGACAACTCTCCATCCAAGTTACAATTTATAAAAGTAAACCATTATAGGTCAAGGTACGGCCTTCAACACGGAGCATTGGCTCACACCGAACAGCAAGCTATAAAGGGCTCCAAAAAATTACTAGTGTAAAACCATTCAAACGGAAAAAACCAACGGTCTAATCTATATAAAAACGAGAAACGAGAAACACGTATGAACTACATAAACAGACGACAACTACTGTTATCAGATTCCTGACTTAGGACAAGTGCAAACATTTGCAGCGGGATTAAACGTTTTAATGGTACCAAACCTTCTCCCATTTCTGAAATAATAGTATAACATCACAACATAGAAAAACACACTATAAAATATCGATTGGAAGGCTTAACTCAATCAAAAAACGTAAATTAACACACAATGAACGAATAAATTTGACCTGTGACACCTGAATGCAAATACACAGTTAATAAAAAATTACAAGGGATAAATAATTAAAGTCAAAAGTAAATCAACAGGTTTAAACAAAGTTAAAGTATGATATCACTGTGAAATTTCAAACAATTTATAGAAAATCATCACTTTTGAAAAAACCTGCGTCATATTATACACAGGTAAATGAAAATAATTTTGTTGTTAAGTATACTTCTTAGATTAAACATGTTTTGAAAGACATGAATGAGATGCCAGAAATTGTCCTTGACAATTTAAAGGAAAAACTATGCACATGTTTTCGGGGGCAACCATCACAGGAAAGGTGGAAGTATATGATAAAAAGATCATTACATGTCATTTTTCATATCAGACCCTTTATCGGCCCTCGTTCATGATATCAGCCCTCGAGCCTGCGGCTCTTGGGCTGATATCACGACCTAGGGCCGATAAAGGGTCTGATATGAAAAATGCCATGTAATAATCTATACTTACACGATCCTGTTTCTGATTAAAGTTTTAATAATATTCACAAAACCCCCTTTTCTTTTACAAAGTACAACAGTGGCGTAGCTACCATTGACGCAACGACGCACTTGCGTGCACAAACGAAATGGCAAAAAAAAAATCATAAAAAATCATAACAGTCAAAAAAAAGACATTTTAGAAGCTATTGTTCCGCTGACATCCATGCTTCAGGGCGTCTCTCTTGTATGGTGGAAGCGGTAAATGAATGTCAAACTCTCATCCGTGTTTTTGAAAATGAGAGAAACGACATTGCGTAATTCAATTTTCTGTACGACGAAGCCGTTGTGTTAGCCAATCATTTTGAAATCGTTCCTTCGAAACCAAGAACTACCGGCCGTCAACGTAATCGGGCGAATCCCGCTGTTGTCGGTATCCAGGATTATTGGCGCGTCACACTGTATATACAATTTTTAGACCATCTTCTAAACGAACTACGAGATCGTCTTGTCAATTCGGAAGAACATTTTCTTGCTCAAATGTTTCTTCCAAACAATCTGAAAAGTTTGAATCGGGATCATCAAATTCGCATATTTCGCGCCTACGAGTCCGATCAGAAGATCAGTTTCTTCTCGTA